GACGGTCGTGGTAACGTTGAGGGTGGTAGTGGCGGCTACGATGGTGGCGGCTACGATGGTGGCGGTGGCGGCGGCGCTGGTGGTGATCTGTTGCGGCTGTGGCGGTGCCGTCAAGCAACATCAAAGGAGGACTTGCAAGATGCAACTGTCCTTGCAAACCTTGACAGTGATGGCTGGCGTGCACGACCTCATGCTAAATCTTGCTGCTAGCAATGTTGCAACGAGCTGTTGAGATTGATCCGACATCCCTGTGGACCTGTAGTGCTGCTCAGTGTGCACGGAGCAAGACACTTCAATGCCATCAAGAAAGAGCGTGCCTGGTAGATCAGAACGGACACGAAAATAGAAATTGTGGCGCAGATTACCTGGCAGTCCATGAATGAAGACCCAACTCTTGACACAAAAACCTCGGGCTCGTCAGTCTGCATGCTTTGAACATTCTCGTGGATACGCAAAACCCCAGACTTCTCTCCATCAAGAACATGGACAGGCAACGGTTTCAAGCCGTCTGCCTCGGGCATGCTGCCAGAGTACGGAAGATGACTTCAAGCTCGGAAACTTTGGAGAAACTTCGAGAACTTGAGAGAGATAAACGGAGGCCCAGTCCCTTGGCACGCTGAGCCCATGAAGGATTGATGCGAGACACTCTGACGACCTGAATTTCATTTATGTGGATAGAGCAGACTTCATTATGCTTTGCAGCGCGCCGTCAGCCTTCCGCCAACACCGTCCCATGCAACAACTGCCTTCCGTCACAAGCCACCCACAGAAAGTGATCGAGGCGCCTTCCAGGTACATATCTGCATCTCTTTGTCCTCATGGTTAACCTGCCACACAGTGCGATCCAACAACACCGACAAGTAGACTGTGACAGCTCTGTGGGCTTCTGCCATCAACGACAAGACTTGGAGACCACTTCGGTGGTACCGTGGCACGACCCTACACGTGGCTGCACGTCATTCACTCGCTCTCACTGGGCCACGGACGAGGTAAAATATGCCCATCATGAAGCCGATGCTACCGAGCAGCATGATCTCAGCGCAGCTCAGGATGCACACTGCCAGACGCAATCATGTCGATCAGCTTCAATCGCAATCAGCTGACACCACAAACCTATACTAAGATACTCCACACCTGCACGTGGCTGCATCTGCACTGATGGTAACCTGAGGAGGCGCAGCCGAGGCACGGCAATACCCAAGTTGACACCAGTTGTCTCCTGGAAGGAGGAAGAACTGCAAGATTCTGATACTGCCTGCATGTTGCCTTGCATGTTGCCTAAAAGCTGCAATGCCTGAGACACGCGATTCGGTGATGGGGATGCGCGGCTGGCCTCATCAATTTTGGATGCCATCACAGGCACGACGCACAGCAGCCAAACCTGAAAGCAGGTTTGTGGCTGTGGTCTCCGAGTTCTCCGGGCATCATGGGTGAGGGCTGTGAACGTCACCCTTCTGTCAGATGCTACATGTACCAAATATGTGTGTTTCGAGCGCCCGGACACCCTGGGCTCAAGGCAAAGGCGTCTGTCGACCGCATGGTGGTATCAGCAGCGAAGAGTCCTTTTCACGCGACAGCCAGAGGCATCCCCTGCAAGTACGGATCATCTGGCTCTGACTACGGCGCAACCCCTTTCCTGGGTCACTGCCGCGACCAGCGTCAACAGGACCGTGCCACGAAGGACTGCGGGCTCACCATGATGAATTCTGGCAAGCTTCCCGGTCTGGCTGCTGTTGGGTAGGTCTGCTGTGGTTGTCTTGGAGTGCCAGTGTTGGATTCGGATCTGCTTTCGAACTTGCATGAGCCTCTCTGCAAGCAAAGCTGGAAGCACAAGCAGTCGGCCAACGGATTTCGGAAAGCTTAAACTTAGAGGAGCTTGCTGCATCCTGATCTCTGAGGCATCTGCACTGCATGCACGTGTTCGCATCACATTTTTCGTCTGGAAATCCGCCCTGACATGCAAGCTCAGCAGACCAAGACTTAGACGCTGAGGTTGGAAAGTTGCAGTTGCATGATCAGACCGGAGGGTTTGCAACCTAAAGTTCCCACTCTACGAAGCACAGGATGTGACGATTGTGATGCTGCAGGACAAGAGTATAAGGGTGCTCGGGGACCGCTGGGGGCTGCCAGGGTCTGCTGAAGCTGCTGAAGCCCTGCCATTAGGCAGGGTCGTGAGATCTCAACTTTGCCCGGATCTTCGCGTTCTTCGGAAGGGCTATGCTGCAATCTCAAGGCTTTCTGCTGTGCACACGGTATCTAGTCAAACCCCCGCACCGGAAAGTCTCAGGTCTCAGGATCACCTCTGCGTATCTTCTTCGGGATCCAGCACCTCCATGAACTCCATGTTCGACTTGGAGGCCTCAGCCCATGAGGCTCATCGAGGAAGGTTTGGGAAGGCCCAAAACAAGGCATGCGACGAAACCAACCAAGCCTTCCCGGCATGGTTCCAGGCTGACCCCAGGACATCAAGACACCCACGCCAGCATGTGAACTCATCAAGGTGCGAATGCATGCCCACTGCAGTCAAGCTGCTGTGAAGCAGGCGCTACCTTCCGGAGCTTTGAAGATTTTGCCGGGAGCTTTCTCTCACCACCTGCTCAACAACCAAGCCTTCGGGCGTTGATTTTGGATGCACAAGGCTTCGTTGTCTGCTTCTACATAGAAGCATGTCTAAGCAGATATTCGCAGACTGTCCCTCTTCAAGCATCTCCAGGCTATGCAACGCTCTGGCAGGAGAAGCATCACACGGACAACGAAGGAAAACTGCACGGGCGCTTCCGATGCCTGGTGTCCGGACTGACTTGATGCTTCGAAGCTCATCCTGCCGTGCTCGACAGCAGATCAGGCTCTGAAGCCACTTTGAGGCGTGCATGGGCTGTTCTTCTTGCATCGCTGTGTTTCAATGAATCCCTCTGGCTCGGGCAGAAGATCCTTCGTAAAAGAGCACAAGAAGATGAACTTGGTGGTAAACCTCCAGGGGATTCGGCAAAGACCGGATGTTTAGCCTGTGGAAATGTGCATGTGGAGCCGGGCGTGAGTGCGCGGAGATGCGTGTAAGAGTGCTCTCTGGCAGAAGCGTAATTGCACAGGCTTAGATTTACCCTGCAGGTCCATCCTGCAGGCTGCTATGACTGCTGAATTCTGAGAGCTCGCCTAGCTGCTGGATCGGCTCCCAAACCGTTAACACCATGGCTGCGGGCAAGAGACCGGACTTGGTCGAACCTGGTGAGATGCAAGGCTCAGCTGCAAAACTTCACTTGCCGGTCTATGACAAACGCATGCAAACGCAAGCTGCTCCATACTGCTCCGATCTGTGTTGCAAACAAGTGACATGAGCAGCAGCATGTCCACGCCTCGAGGCAGGAAGATTCATCGAATTGTGGAAGGGAGCTCCGAGCACTTTTCCAAATTGCTATTGGCTTTGATTTGGCCGCTAGCCACTTCATGCGATCCCATCACATTGATTTAAGGAATCTAAAGCCGCCTCTTGGAATGCGAAGCCCAGCGGCTCTTGGCTGAGCCTTTGAGTTTCATGGTGCTGTCAATGAACTCGCTTGCGGTTACCTCAGCCCATCACATGTCACGCTGTCGCTCGCGTCCCATGTCAATGGCCTGTCTTTCGAAACTTGCCTCAGCGTTTCTAACTCAACAAGTGAGCAGCCCGCAGACAAAACAAATGAATTGCTCGTCTTATCAGTATGATTACTAAGACAGGTTACCAGCATGAAAGCTGCCAGGACGATGGCTATCGTTAGCCTTCTGATCATCGCGCATCATACTTCTATTCTCGTGAAGGGTTCTCCTGGGTGTCTTCTGGAAATACACATACTAGTCGTGGACATCAGTGCAACTGCTGTCTGCACGCAGTGATCACCTAGTGTTGCTACACGGAAGCCTGTCGGGTGCTGTACTGTAGAAACAAGCGAAATACCTGGCAATATCGTCCCTTGAAAATCGCTGTATGATTTGAATGACAACTGCCCTCAAAAAAGAGTAGACGTACTTGTTGATACCATCATGCTATACGAGACGCTTCTGCTTGAAGCAGCAAGTCTTAGAATACTACTTTAGGGTTTCTTTCATGCTTAAGGACATGTGGTTAAAGGTCTTGGAGTATGAAATTGAAGTGTCTAGGGTCTTGTTGAGGATAGGATCCAAGGGTCCGGAGATACCCGAAATGATACTCGAACATGCGGCACACTCAATATGAGCAAGCCAATTTCCCCATTCACCTCGCCTTTTGAACTGCACGTTGCCTTGTAGACATTTGAGCAGTCTTGGTCTACTGCCACGATCCTCACAGAAGAATAGAATATTATGTTTCGAAATGTATTGAGTCTTCTGCAGACTTGTTGATCACGGCCGGGCAGTCGTCTCTGCGTGCGCAGGCTCCTCGCCAATGTACATCATCTCCCCCGAGCTTACTCTCACTGGTACGCAGACATCTTTCAGCTCAATCCACACATGCCCGGAGTCAGCACCTCGCATCCGTGCTCTTCAAGCCAGGCGATATTGCGGGGGATTGCCCAACGGGATCCATAGCTCACCAACTTCACGGTTGGACCTGCAAGGTGAAGAAGCCGATGCATATGCTCTCACCATGCCATATACTCTGGCCCACTGGGTCGGCCGGATGAACATGCGGAGATCAGGCATATGCGGGTTGCTTTCCCGGTTGCCGCTTTGCCTGTAGTTGAAATGCAAAGAAACGACTTTGGGAGGATTCGCCCTTGCATCCACCTTCATGCTCCCCTCTGAAAACGTCCGGAGCGCCTCCAAGTAGGTTCCCGAGGACCCTTCTGAGAAATCCGAGCTCTGAACTGTTGCTGCGATGTCCGAACTAGATTGCAGGCATGGGTCGGGCAATCTGCCGCTAGAAGACCCTGAATCCTTGCCAAGGTCTGTAAAATCAGAATCAGCATCTAGCTTCAAGCCTAAAAGGTGGAATGCATCTGTGCAGCCACGCAAGTGCGGTATGCGAACGTGAAAAAGGTCCGCGCTCACACGCTGAGCACGGCTTGTCCGTAGGGAAATTCGCAAACATGCAGGCGTTCTTCCCTGAGAGACAACGGGTGGGCTTTTTGCCTGTGGATGAACTTCTGAAATCGATCCTGCTCCTCTGTGTCCGGGAGTAGAAGGTTACTAAAGACCTGGCCCTTGAGGCTCTCCATCACCAAGGCACCACGGAGCAGATCATCATCGTCCGTGATTTGCAAAGACTCATCCAGCAACAGCTCTGCATCGCTTAGGCCTTTCAGCATGGTCCGAAAGGAGGTGACCATGGACTCCGCATCTGCTCCTCGGAACTGAGCGGCCACGCCTTCCTTCATAGTGCTTTCCAAGACCACCGAAGAGAAGATCAGGATGAGAGCTTTGAGCAGCGGAGCTGCCACCAATTCCACTGAGACACTTTGCAAACCGCTGGAGGCCGCAATGCAAACGATCTCTGCCAGAGCAAGAGCAGCTTGGCCGGGTACGTGTACAGTCGAGTCACAATAGCAAGCGAACAAAGTAATCTGGCCAGTTTCCATCAGCCTCATATGTTCAAAGCCAGAGCCACATAATATGCACACAACCGTAATCGCATAGTAGGCGGCGACAAACACTTTCAATTGTTGGGCCCGCAAGCGGATTTTGTCACATGCTATTGCTAAATGCGTAGCATATGCAGCGGCGGCAGCTAGCAGGATACCAACCATAAAAACCGCGTTCCCGCGATCATAGATGAACGGAATGATGACCATCGACATACCGTTCACGTGCACCATCAGCTTGCTTGTTTCGACGTAGCTATTCTCTCGCAGCTGTTCCATGGCGGCACTAATTCGCCTTGCATCACCATTACCAGCGTGTGCTGAGCCACCTGAGTTTTGCCGTGCGTACTGGCCCAGCTTTCCCACAAATTTCAGCACGTCCACATGAGTCATGCTCCAGTGAAAGCTCAGGAGAATGAGTGCAGCCGCCACATGAGTCGTGGAAACGCTCTCGGACAGCATGGCTCAACGCAGTGCCCCTAGAACAGAAGCACGGCCTGCAAGTTGCTGGCCTGCGTTTGCATAGCCTTTGAGCAAAGTTTTCTAAGTTCGCATCACTCTTGCACACCTTTGCCATCAACACCACACTTCCACCAATTGAGTACAGACTTTCACTTTTAAGTTCGATCGAACGTTCTTTATGCCATACGCGAGCTGCAGTCCCGATCAGCAACATCTCTTTCTCCAGGCATAGGACTACGGAGCTGTATGATATACTGTGGCACTGGCTTCGCGACAGAGCAACCATTGATGTGTTAATCCTTCAAGAAACGCATTGGGGTTTCGGAAAGACTGATTGTGCATGGCGAATTCCTGGGTGGCCCTTTGTGGCTTAGGCAGATCGTTCAAACTATTTTAGTGGCGTGGCGGCGGTGATTTCAGAGCACGTGGCACCTGCCACACATCTCACCTTCTTCTCCTCGATCCCTGGCTGCATTTTACATGTTGTTAGCATTCGCAGTTTACTCTTGATATTTTCGGGATCTACCAGTTTGTCTGGAGTGAGACAGACAAGCCTCGCACTGAAGCTCGGCATCACGTTCTTGCTGAAGTTGGTCGCGCCATTGGTGCGATACCTAGACGACATCTACTGATCATAGGCGCTGACTTCAACACTACTGCGGCACACCTGCCTGGGCATGTCGGGCGTGGTTGGTCAGTTCCGCCAGCAGGGAAGTGGATGAGGAGTTTCAGCAGCTCCTTCAGACAAGCGATCTCAACCTGCTGAACGGCTGGGGCAGAGCCGGTAGGACAAAATCTGCGACCTTTGCAACCCAGCAGACGACGCACAGAAAGTGATCGAGGCACCTTCCAGGTACATATCTGCATCTCTTTGTCCTCATGGTTAACCTGCCACACAGTGGGATCCAACAACGCAACACATGGACAAGTAGACTGTGACAGTCCTGTGGGCTTCTGCCATCAATGACAAGACTTGGAGACCACTTCGGTGGCACCGTGGCACGACCCTACACGTGGCTGCACGTCATTCACTCGCTCTCACCGGGCCACGGACGAGGTAAAATATGCCCATCATGAAGCCGATGCTACCGAGCAGCATGATCTCAGCGCAGGTCAGGATGCACGCTGCCAGACGCAATCATGTCGATCAGCTTCAATCCCAATCAGCTGACACCACAAACCTATACTAAGATACTCCACGCCTGCACGTGGCTGCATCTGCACTGATGGTTGCCTATGGAGGCGCGGCCGAGGCACGGCAATTCCCAAGTTGACACCAGTTGTCTCCTGGAAGGAGGAAGAACTGCAAGATTCTGATGCTGCCTGCATGTTGCCTTGCATGTTGCCTGCAAGCTGCAATGCCTCAGACAGGCGATTCGGTGATGGGGATGCGCGGCTGGCCTCATCAATTTTGGATGCCATCACAGGCACGACGCACAGCAGCCAAACCTGAAAGCAGGTTTGTGGCTGTGGTCTCCGAGATCTCCGGGCATCATGGGTGAGGTCCTAGAAGTGGGAGACCGACATGATGCGCAGCTGTGAACGTCACCCTTCTGTCAGATGCTACATGTGTGTTTCGAGCGCCCGGACACCCTGGGCTCAAGGCAAAGGCGTCTGTCGACCGCATGGTGGTATCAGCAGCGAAGAGTCCTTTTCACGCGACAGCCAGAGGCATCCCCTGCAAGTACGGATCATCTGGCTCTGACTACGGCGCAACCCCTTTCCTGGGTCACTGCCGCGACCAGCGTCAACAGGACCGTGCCACGAAGGACTGCGGGCTCACCATGATGAATTCTGGCAAGCTTCCCGGTCTGGCTGCTGTTGGGTAGGTCTGCTGTGGTTGTCTTGGAGTGCCAGTGTTGGATTCGGATCTGCTTTCGAACTTGCATGAGCCTCTCTGCAAGCAAAGCTGGAAGCACAAGCAGTCGGCCAACGGATTTCGGAAAGCTTAAACTTAGAGGAGCTTGCTGCATCCTGATCTCTGAGGCATCTGCACTGCATGCATGTGTTCGCATCACATTTTTCGTCTGGAAATCCGCCCTGACATGCAAGCTCAGCAGACCAAGACTTAGACGCTGAGGTTGGAAAGTTGCAGTTGCATGATCAGACCGTAGGGTTTGCAACCTAAAGTTGCCACTCTACGAAGCACAGGATGTGACGATTGTGATGCTGCAGGACAAGAGTATAAGGGTCCAAGGGTGCTCGGGGACCGCTGGGGGCTGCCAGGGTCTGCTGAAGCTGCTGAAGCCCTGCCATTAGGCAGGGTCGTGAGATCTCAACAAGCCGCCGTTGTCGAATCTCCGTTTGGAGACCGCGCAGGGCGGGGTAACGCTTTGGTAAAATTGGTATTTGCCCGGATCTTCGCGTTCTTAGGAAGCCCGATGCTGAATCTCTTTGGGCTTTCTGCTGTGCACACTGTATCTAGTCAAAGCCCCCGACTGGAAGGTCTCAGGTCTCGGGATCGCTTAAATTTCTGCGCCTGTCACCTCCGCGCATCTTCTTCGGGATCCAGCAACTCCATAAACTCCATGTTCGACTTGGAGGCCTCAGCCCATGAGGCTCATCGAGGAAGGTTTGGGAAAGCCCAAAACAAGGCATGCGACGAGACCCAACCAAGCCTTTCCGGCATGGTTCCAGGCTGACCCCAGGACATCGAGACACCCATGCCATCATGTAGACTCATCAAGGTGCGAATGCATGCCCACTGCAGTCAAGCTGCTGTGAAGCAGGCGCTACCTTCCGGAGCTTTGAAGATTTTTGCCGGGAGCTTTCTCTCACCACCTGCTGAACAGCCAAAGCTTTGCTGCCTGCTTCTACATAAAAGCACGCATTTGCCGAATGTCCCTCTTCAAGCAACGAAAACTGGACGGGTGCTTCCGATGCCTGGTGTCAGGACTGACTTGATGTTTCGAAGCTCATCCTGCTCGTGACGTGTGCTCAAATACAGCAGATCTGGTTCAGGCGTGCTCGCATTCTGTGCATGGGCAGAGCTGTGTTGCATCTGGCTCGAGCAGAAGATGCCTCGATAAAGGAGCACAAGAAGTTGAACTTGGTGGTAAACCTCGAGGGGATTCAACAAAGACCTGATGTTTTTCCTGTAGAAATATGCATAATTTCTTATACACGAACTTGTGCGGCCAGGCGTGCATGCACAGAAATGTATGTAAGATCCCTCTCTCTCCGGCGTAGCAAAAAGATTTAGCACACAGGTCCATCCGCCCAGTCGCTGGGTCAGCCCTAAAACGTTAACACCCTGGCTGCGGGCAAGAGACCGCACTTGGTCGAACCTGATGAGATGCAAGGATCATATGTAAGAGTCCACTTGTGCGTCTATGGCAAACGCATGCAGACGCAAGCTGCTCCATACTGCTCCGATCCGTGGTGCAGACAAGCGGCATGAGCAGCAGCATGTCCACACCTCGAGACGCCATCGAACTGTGGATGGAAGCTCCGAGCACTTGGCCTACCTGCTAGCGGCTTTGTCTTGGCCGCTGGTCACTTCATGCGAACCCATCACATTGATCTAAGGAACCTAAAGCCGTGTCTTCGCATGTGAAGCCCAGCTGCTCTTGGCTGAGCCTTTGAGTTTCATGGTGCCGTCAATGAACTCGTCTGCGGTTACCTCAGCCCATCACACGTTGCAGGCGTTCCATGTCGACTTTTCAAAGGCTTGCCTCAGCGATCCTGATTACAAAGTGAACAGCCAGCAGACAAAACAGAAATCTAAAGTCTTTTGTGGATCAGACTCAGGCCCAAAAATCCTGTGGCCAAGGTGCAGTTCCGTTATGGTCGGTATCCTGGGTGTCATGCCACATGTCTCCACGTTCGACAGATCAGAACACTGGATGTAAATCTAGATTTCGGCATCGCCATGATCGACCTCTGAAGCTGAGGCAGTTATCACCAATGCGACAACGACAAAACAACATATCATTTGTGTGCATGCACCTACATCATATGTCGCACGATTATGGACAAGCCTGCCATGAATAGAAACGTGTAGGTAAATAAATGCAAATATATATATATATATATATATATATATATATGTATGTGTATACATATGTGTATATATATATATATACATCCACATATATATATGTACATACATACAGACATACATACATACAAACACACATAGCCAGCCTCTGCACACTACCTATCCGTCTATCCGTCAATCAATCTGATTGTCAGTCTGTCTAAATATCCATCGAGCCATACCAAAATCTGTCAATCTATCCATCTGTCCATCCAAAACCATCCATCTGTCGTTTTGTCTTTCAACGTATAGATATGCGCACGTGTGTGTGTGTGTGAGACATGTACATCTGCATACAAGACTTGCACATGTAACCATGTAAGCACAGTTATTATATATGCATGTATGCAGACCCATATCTTCATTCATCCATAGATTTATTTAGTCGTTCATGCATGCATGCATGCATGCAGTCATTCACTCTGTGATTCATTCGGTCTTCCGTTCGGTCGTTCGTTAATTCAGTCTTCCTGTAGTGACTCATGATATTTATGCCTGCTTTCTCTCTTTCTTTCAATCCGGACATTCGTTCGTTCGTTCATTTGTTATTAACTCACTCATTCACTCAATGTATTCTGTCGTTGACTTCAGTGATACATTCATTGACTCCGTCAGTCAGTCACTCACTCACTGGACTCGCTCACGTGCTTCTCATGGTGGTACAAAGGGGCACATGCTTGCGCACATGCAACACGTGAAGCGTGCACGCATGCCTGCATGCATAAGTACCTACATATGGGGTGATGGGAATTTCACGGCACTATGTTCAGCGCAAGGGTTGGTTTGTTCAAGGATAACGGCTGGCGTTTTCAGGAATAAGGACTGTTGTTTTCAAGAAGTCCCGGAGGATGTTCAAGACATAACTTCGACAATTTTCAAAAACAAAGACATGAAGTCGTGTCAAGCTTCCCAAGCTCGGCCGGCACGAAAGCGCTTTTGGGTTGCAGGAGTCTTCCCGTGT